CTGTTGGAAAAGCACCTTTGGGACAACCATGACCTGGATGATTGAGAATCTCCCAAGACATTGAGATATTGAGAATTTTGATCTAGGCATATTGGTTGCTCCGTAGCTGGGAAAACAAACTGTGAGAAAAGCAGACACCTTCATATTTTCCTCCAATTGCTCATATTTAGGGTGGATAGGATAAGATAAGTAAGCTAAACCGGGGTTCCCCAACCCCAAGACTGTGGACCAGCATCCATCTGTGATCCTCCAGAAACTGGGTTGCGCAAACAAGCATAGCACCATCCGTGCGCCCATGGGATCCAGGTAACGTGTGAAACCACGTTCCTCCCCTCCTCCCCCCCGGTCTGTGGAAAAAACACCCTCCACAGAACCGATCCCTGGGGTCCAATGGGCTAGGCAATACCTGTTAAGACACGCACCTCTCCTCAAACTGGCTGATTTGTACCTGCCAGTTGGACCTGTGTAACTTGGTTGACTGCACAAAATGGAGCATCTGCTCTCTGTGGGAGTCTGCCATTCCTGAGTTCTGGAGAAAGCCTGGTTGGCATGCTTCTCCTTGTGAAGTGAAGGAAATAAGCTCTTTTCAGCTCTAGTGTTCTAGCTTATGGCCACCTCAACCAGCTTTTAAGAGAGCAAATGGAACCGTTGACTTCTAAACCAAGAATATAGGTAAAAAAACAAAACCCAAAACCTGGGCTGTCATTAATATCTCAATAGTTTCAGCTCCCATATGCACCCCCCCCCCTAAAAAAACAACCCACCTCTGCCCTATGATTTCCTACACACCTTCGGTGTTTAGCCAAGTGGCTGTTGACTTGGCTGTGGTTATCCCGGAGCAGGTGACTAAATTACCCTGAAATCAGGCAGAAAATTTCTTCTTCTGGTCACTGAAGTGAATCTGTCCATTGGTCAAGTGGCAAAGCCAAGTGCCGTCTAAGAGCCCTGAGAACTGCCACTTCCGATAAGTCAAGTCTTCAACTAGCGTGAAAGGGCGTTCTTTCATTACGATTGCATTTATTATGTTTATTTCAGTTGATCTATTTAGCCAATGTGAATTGGTCAGCACCCCGGCCTTTGGATGCGTTCCATCTGTGGGAAACCATGCTAAAATATCAAAGGACCTGTCACTGCGGATTTATTCACCATCCCAGTGTAGAGTTGACCTACATAAGCAAGAACATACTCTTCAGAAGGGGGGGGGGGAGAAGAGAGCTGGTGTGGTTTGGAACACCGAAAATAAAGAGAAGAAAAGCTGATTCGATTGAAAAGGGGGAATATCTCAGCTAGAGTAGTACACTGTGGTTAATGCTTTATTTCTTGCCTTGCATTTATTCTTCTTTTCTGCTGTTCCTAGAAGAACAGCCGAGAAGAACAGGAGTAGGGAAATGGGTGTTGAAGGGAAGAAAACCAAGGCTTGCAAAAATCCAGATGCTGGCTATTAGCAATAAATAAGTATGTAAATACAGATAAAGAAAAAAAGAAATAAAAAGTGTTCCACATTTCAGGTGGTTCCAATTCTTGCAAGCCTTCAATGATCTCGTGCCAGGAAAATCCTGAAATATTACTCAGTTTGACAGGCAGAATTTTATTTCGGCCATTGGCCGATAAAAGTATAGTCGATAAAACAGGCAACACAAAACTATCCACTAACCAGAAGCTCTTAGCCGCCATTTGTAAGCGAAGTTTACACCTAATAGAAGTAATAGAAATAAGTTTATCTTGAACGTCTATATCAAAATAGTACATATAAAAGCAGTGAGAGTGTTTCCAGAAGTGCAATGGGGCTATTGATTTTGCGGTTCTGTGAGAGCGGATCAGCAATCATGAGGACTAATTTTCATAGGAAATTTCTCTTTTGTAATTCTGTCCAAATGGAAAGATAACAAATGAGATGCTTGTGGAAGAAGAAGAAGAAGACCAAATGCAAGTTGGTTTCAGCCAGGCTGGAGAAGAATAACTCTGATAGAAGAGAACATTTGTAGCTCAGGGTTGACTAGGCAGTGCTCTCTTGAGCTGGGTGGTTTTCATGCAGACGTTTCATTACCCAACTAGGTAACATCATCAGTGCTGAAAGGGAGTGGTATTTGCGGGGTAAAGGAGGAGGAGGACTGTGGGGTGGTGGGGGTGGTGATGGTGGTGATGATGATGATGATAATAATATAATAATAATAATAATAATAATAATAGTAATAGAGTTCGAAGGGACCTTGGAGGTCTTCTGGTCCAACCCCCTGCTCAGGCAGGAAACCCTATACCATTTCAGACAAATGGTTGTCCAGTCTCTTCTTAAAAACTTCCAGTGTTGGAGCACCCACAACTTCTGGAGGCAATTTGTTCCACTAATTAATTGTTCTAACTGTCAGAAGATTCCTCCTTAGTTCTAGGTTGCTTCTTTCTTTGGTTAGTTTCCATCCTTTGCTTCTTGTCCTGCCTTCAGGTGCTTTGGAGAATAGCTTGACTCCCTCTTCTTTGTGGCAGCCCCTGAGATATTGGAACACTGTTATCACGTCCCCCCTCGTCCTTCTCTTCATTAAACTAGACTAGGGTTTAAAACTAGGGTCCTTGGTGCTCTCTGAGCTTGGTGGTTTTCTTGCAGATGTTTCATTACCCAACTAGGTAACATCATCTAGTGCAGTGGTTCTCAACCTGTGGGTCGGGACCCCATTTGGGGTCGAACGACCATTTCACGGGGGTCTCCAAACAAGGCTGTCCGCCATTTTTTCCCCCTTTTCTTTGGCCAGGCCCCTGGCACCCATTGATGTATAAGTGGTTGGGGGTCACCACAACATGGGGAACTGTATTATGGGCTCGCGGCATTAGAAAGGTTGAGAACCACTGATCTAGTGCTACCATTGTGCTAACATCTAATACTGATGATGTTACCTAGTTTAGTAGTGAAATGTCTGTAAGAAAACAACCAAGCTCAGAGAGCATCAAGGACCCCACAAGAATCTCTCTTGGGTACAACCAGTTGGAGCAATTGTTGATGCTGACCAGTATGGGAACCTGATGCTAAAGAATAGGGAATCATAATTAAGATGACAGAAGAAGCCACCTTAGTTCTTGTCTCTGAACCTTGTAAACCCATGGAATAACTGCTGTTTGGGCTAGAACATATGAAGTAGACTTTTGATCCATCTGGGACAAATAGTTGCTGAGAGAGGCAGTTCTTGTTTTGTCAGAAATTGTTTGCTGTTCAGGCTGGATCAATGAACATTTATTCATATGAAAAAATTCTATCCTGATTTTTTTTTTTTTTTTTTGGAGCCCAGTGCATTGCTCAGGGCTGTTTATAGACCTTCTGAGATCAATGCACAGCTTAAAGAGTTTAAAAGTTTGGGGGGGGGAGTACAAGTCTAAAATCACTTAGAAGAAACAATTACCCACATACACACAGAAATACACAATTCCTAATAAAAGTGTTAAAGCTGGAAGATGCTGCAGTTAGCATCCAAGCTTTGTGTTGCTTATGGAAACTACTGTATGTTTTTTTCTAAAAACAAAGACTTTGACGAAGAACATTAGCAGAAAGAATCATAGTGTAGGAATGAAGCATAGAACCATAGGGCTGGAAGGGACTATGGAGGTCTTCTAGTCCAACCCCCTGCCCAGGGCAGGTATGAATGGATCTATCAATCCAATCTCCTGCACATTGCAGAAGTCAGATTAGACCATCTTCCCATAAGGAAGAACTTCCTAATTTTCTCTAAAGAAATGAAACTTACAGAATTCTGTACTGGTTTCTGAAAAAAAAAAAAAAAAAACCAGCACAGGATGGTGTACAAAGTCCCAGGGAACTTTGTAAAATTTAATTTAATTTAAAATTAGTAAAATTGCAAACCTGGAGTTGCAGGGTTCTGGGGTGGCCAGAGAAAAGATCCTAAACTTTGTCCTAATCAAATACACTTCTTTCACATGTGAGATACTGAGAAGATCCTCTCCATCAATAAAAGGGATGGATAGCCTCCATCTAAGGCATTGAGAGCTTTAATGATCTGTTAAAGATTTCTCTGTATAAAGTAACCATAACATAATCTAGTCTGGATATAAAACAGGTGTCACCATATTAGGTTTGCTTTCATAATGATTGTTGCATTAAGAAGAAAATTCTAGACCTGCCCTTTAAGGCCTTCCTTCCTTCCTTCCTTCCTTCCTTCCTTCCTTCCTTCCTTCCTTCCTTCCCTCCCTCCCTCCCTCCCTCCCTCCCTCCCTCCCTCCCTCCAATTCATCTTCCCTATAAGTATGCCAACAATCTTCTTAACTATTCCTAAGTTTCATACTGCCCTTATCAGAACAGATATTTTCAGCTCTGACCAGTGTTCCATAGACTTTCCGAATAGCTGGAACAATAGTGGATGAAATTGGAACAGGTATTTCAAGCTAAAAGCATGTTTTGAGATTGAAATACGGGGTTAGGTTTGCAAGAAGAATCACCAGTTATTATTTCATTCTGTATCGATCAAGAGATAAAGAGCACTGTAAATGTTTGAGTTTATTTCCCCCCCCTCCCCAGTTCTGCTTGAACTGAATTAAATATCTTTCCATTGACAAACAGAGGGGTCAATCAATGTGAATGTAGCACTGGTGACGTTCCTGTGGATAATTGTTTTAAGGGTCCTTGGTCATTTTAATTATTTCACTTTGTACAACCTATTGCGAGCATTGTTAGAAATGTTATTACTATGCCATTTTGTTTTGAAGGTCCATTTGTTCTCCTGACCAAAACAGTTGTGCCTTGCAATATTTGGGATACAGTATTTTAGATAACTTATATATTTATTTATAAAGTTGGCGGAGACAACTTTGGGTGGTGGGAATTGGACCTAAAAAGGCATGAAAATGGATACTGGGTACCCATATGGATGGCAGAAGATAAATGAAGATATTAGGGCATTATTTAGTAATTCAGTATAGGGTCCAGCTCAGCCATTATTCCTTAAGTAGCATATTCCCATTTCATACTATATCAACGCTTTTAACAATGTTTTTCTTTACAGACATAAGAACTTTATTTTTCCCTGATGAAACCCACGTAAAGGTTGCAGAGCTCAGGACTCTTCAAATACAAGGTGTTTACTTCTATTTGTGTCTTTTGTGACTTAACACATTTCTTTTCTCTGCAACAGGCACTTGCTATATTTAACATGTGGTTTTGGTATTGGCTATTCTTTCGTCCACAAGCTCCCTCTATCTTGTCTATCTCCTTGAGTGTGATTTTCTGAGAAATTGATTTGTTACTTTCGGTTGGCGTTGACTTAGAGGAAGAATTTCTATGGTCGGCCATAGGAAACCACATTGGGACAATTCTGAAAGCCAACTTGGGAGTGTGGCTTTCATTTGTTAAAGCCCAAAGGGGCAATTCTTTATTTTGGAAGAATATTAAACAGCATTATGGGACCCATTTTCAGTTTTTTTTTTTTTAAATTGAAAAGCAAGGATGCCCGATTTTTTCCAGGTCCCAGTTCATTTTTACATGGGATAAAGCCATAAGCTCAGAAGAAATGGAGCCAGGACAATTGAATTGACAGTGTATTAAAATCAGAGAAAAGGTTGTTTTGATTTTTTTTAAAATTGTTTTTCCAGCCAAGAAGTAGAGCTAGTACTGAACCCAGAGCGGATGGAGCCCATTAAATGGTTAATTTGAATGTGGGTTGGGGGGTTATTATTTTATGTTTCTTCTGGTTATTTTCTTCTTCTTTTTATATGGTGTTTTGATATTTATGTAAGCCGCATGCGAGTAGGCAGGAATATACATTTTCTAAATAGATGAAAGTAAATAAATAAAAACATACAACTCCAAGGGAGCCCAAAATTTCTGTTGCTAAGCAGCACAGTTGTTCAGTCAGTAGTGCTCCATTTTACGACATTTTTGCCCCAGTTACTGAGCGAATCGCTGCAGTTCTTAAGTGCATCATGTGGTTATTAAGTGAATCTCACTTCCCCCCATTGACTTGGCTTGTTGGAATTCGGCTGGGAAGGCTATAAAGAGTGATCACATGATCTCGGGACAGTGCAACGGTCATCACTACATGCTGGCTGTCAAACAGGTCTAGGGCAACTCGCCATTGGAGAAGGGCGATCAGCGTGGGATTAAAACAAAATAGACAAGTTGTGAACTTGGCAAAAAAAAAAAAGTTGAACATATCCTGTGTACTCCGTTCAAGGGTAAAAAAATGAAAGTAGATATTTGGCTAGTTTCTTTTTAGTTTTTCTTGATGGTGCTTCTGTAATCTTTTCATTTTCTCCCGAGAAAAATAAAAAGCCATCTGAATCTTTGAGAAAGAGTAGAACCTGCTAATTGAAATTATAATAAAAGAATAATTTGAAAGTGGGGGGAGGGAGAAGAGCAGTCATTTGGGATTTGGGGAGACGTAGTTTAAGCCTATTATTTTTGAAAATAATATAAAGCTAATTCGGTTACGAGAGAGGCTGCTGTTTTTTCTCATCTTTGGATCCTGCTATTTTTCTGCTATTTTTAGCTTTGCATGAATAGTTAAATCTTTATAAACGGAAGCTAAAAGTAATTGAAACATCAGTGGAATGTTGTATTTTAATCGGTTTCGTCATAAACGTTCTCCCACTTTTCAGAGGAGGATCAGACAATCGTACGCAGCTTTATGCCTTTCCTTGTAAAATCATCTCAACCAGAAATGTTGCAGCTTCTCTACTTTTTCACACTTTTATGCCATCTCAGAGGAGGACCTCAGGAGTGTGAAGACCATCAATCTATTCTCTATGTCAGGGGTTTTCAAAGTTGGCCCTTTTATGACTTGTGGACTTCAACTCAGCGTGCCTGGCTGAGGAATTCTGGAAGTTGAAGTCCACAAGTCATAAAAGGGCCAACTTTGAAGACCCCTGCTCTATGTCCAAAAGACCTGGGATTAAAAGCCAATGACACAAAACAGAGGAAAAAAAACATCTTGATATACACACGGTCGAAATTAAGATGCATTCTGCAGGACAACCTATAAACAAGGATCATTTCATTCACCCTGCTTCTCATTGTCACCTTGTACAAACAGGGAACATATAACTTGTTAGCCATTGCGACAAATCTGGCAACTTTGTGAGTCGCCAAGAAGTTTTGACCTGCTGGAACATTGACAATCAAGCTTCCTTCCTAAATTAATGTTCCCGTTGTTGGAAAAAATGCGACAACAATTTCTTCCTGGGCTCGGCTTGATATAAATCTCAGAGAACAGCAGATAATGGGAAGAAACACCTTCAATCACTCCAAAAAATAAATTACATTCTCAACAACATTTCAAGAAATCCCTCTTCTAGAGCTATTTAGAAGAAACCACCTCCAAACCAGCACCATCTTCTGAAAATAGGAAGAAAAATAGGAATCTTTTACAGAAGAATGCTTTTTTTTAAAAAAAAAGGGCAAGCAGGTCTTGGCAACTGTTTAAATTAAAAACAATCAAGATATTTGATTTGCAGATTCCTAGGTTTAGAGAGGTGTGAGGCCTGAGTGAAAGGGTATGTATGATCTCTCCATCTTCAACATAAAAATTTCATCAAGGTAGCTTTTCTATTTGCAAACAACTTTAAACGGGGGGGGGGGGAATTACCTGTTTGTTTTCTCTGAAATCTGTTAATATAATCTCAGGTTTAATATATTGATATCCGTGGGCTAATTAAAAACTGAGAGTGTGCACACATTTATTTGTTCAGACAAAATGACTGCATAAACATTATTATAAACTGTTTACTCTTCCCACCAAAAGGAAAGGGAGGGGGATGGTCGAGACAATTTATGTTCATTGCTGCCAGGTAGATTTAAAAAAAAAAAAACCCTCTTGAAATAGTAAGTAAGTGGGAAATTAATTCAACAGTTTAATCTAGAGCTAATAACAGTTGCAAGCTCTGAAAGAGATTGCTTCAGTAGGGAGTTAATTAACAGTTTATTCCCTATTTGATAAAAGTAATCCACACTAATTCTAGTGTAATTTACCTCAATGTAATATAAAAACCACAAGCTGCTTCTAATGCTGGTGGTAATTAGGCTTACATTATGGTCATGCTGACAATGGAAGAGGCATTATTATTAGTAATAGTAGTAGCAGTATTAGTGTTGTTATTTACTACTCTTGCAATGTAGGTACCCTTGAAAATATTATTTGACATTTTCTGAATGGACGTTCCACCAGTACTGGTTTTCATTTAACAGAAGGGGAGGCTGCAAATTCTTGAAAGATGGTGGCGGTGTTGGGGCTTGTTTATTTACTTATTTGTTTATTTATTAGACTTCTTTGCCACCCATCTAGCCTGAAGGTGGCACTGGGTGGCTTACAAACATTAAAAGCCTATAAAAATTTAAAACAATTTTAAAAACTCCCTTTTTACAACCCTGTAGTCCCTTAATTTGGGGTAGAGTTGAGGCAACTGGATGGAGCTGAGCATTTACTGGCTGGATGCCCTTCCTGATGCCTACGTGGAGTTCACAGCAGATATTTTTTCTTTGCGCCCTGAGAGAGAATTAAAACTCATAATAATAGAAATAAGACTAGCACTGATGTTACCTAACTGAAACATCTGGAAGAAAACCACCAGGTTCGGAGAGCACCAAGAGCCCCTCATTTCAACCCTGAGCTAAAAATATTCTCCTTTTATTGGTTCAGTAATTATCGGCATTGACAAATTCACCTTCAGTCAATTGCAAAAGGCAGCTTTACTGAGAACAGGTTACATCCTGCAATGATACCTCTAACAGCATCAAACATCCACATCTGCCTGTTCTATTTAAATATTCCCTCTCTTGATTTAAAAAAAAAAGGAGAAAGCTTTTTATGGTCCAGATTCTAGATATTTCACCTTCATACCAATGAAAGGACATTTGACAGTCAGCATTCTAACACAAGAACTAAATGTGTTATTTAATTACCTGATACTGTTTATCATTTGAGTTTATTGTAATCCAAGAAGAGTTTAGCGTGACCCAGAATATATGAGCAGGTAAACCATGACAAATAAAATTGTCCATATATCCTCCTCCTCCTCCTCCAACAACAACAACAACAACAACAACTACTACTACTACTACTACTACTACTACTACTACTACTACTACTACTGAATGTCTTGATTAGTCAAGGTTTTTCACTACAAATAATCTTGTCTCCCACCTTTAAAAGTTTCTGACATCAGGTCTGCAAAGCAATCATCCTCATCATAAAATAAACAAATTTCAAAATACAAGCATGGAACCTGGGAACAATTTTTGTTCCCTCTCACATAGATTTTCAAATGAATAATTGGCTTTCTAACTTTTTAAAAAATTGCATAGATTAAAAGGAACTGCTAATTGCTTTCAAATGCACTGGCTGAGATGATGTCTTATAAATTAAACAATGGCTTTGATTGAAACAGGGTTTGGCAAAGTCATTAGGGCTCCGGTTTGATGTTGAATTGCTTTTAACATTATGGAAAATAAAGGAAATGAAATCTTGTAGTCTGTTTCCAATAGAGATTCTGTAGGATGAATTTACTTCGTTGTATCTCTAAACCTCTTTATTTCTACGGGTAGTTGTCAACTTACAACCATTTGTTTGGCAACCATTTGCAGTTATTGAAAAAGACTTATAGTCGGTCCTCATACTTATGACCATTGCCCCATCCTGCAGCCTTGTGATTGGGTGCTCGGCAACTTGCATGTATTTATGACAAGTTCACTGTCTCAATGGAGAATGTTTGTAGCTCAGGGTTGAAATGTGGGGTTTTTGGTGCTTTCTGAACTTGCTTGTTTTCTTGCAGATGTGTCATTATCCTAACTAGGTAACATCATCAGTGCTAGAAGGCAGGGAGGCTGTAAGGAGGAGGAGGAGAAGGAGGAGGAGGAGGAGGAGGGGGGGGGAGATCTGTGGGGTCCTTGGTGCTTTCTGAGCTTCTTTACTTTCTTGCAAATGTTTCATTACCTAACTAGGTAACATCAATGCTAGAAGGAGGGGGGGTATGTGTGTTTGTGGACTGGAGGGGGGAGGAGGTAGGTAATGAATTCTAGGACTACCACTGATGATGTTACCTAGTTGGGTAATGAAACGTCTGCAAAAAAAACAATCAAACAAGG